TTCTCGCTGTTTTTTGCATGGATTTTACAATTTATTAACATAAGATTTGGTACATTTCTTATCAGAAATCGCCCTTGATATTGAGCATTGGAATATTTTTTTTGCTCCAAAACGTGATGACTATATAGATTATAGATACAAAAATACGCACGTGCACGCATTCACACACACACACACACACACACACACACACACATCAGCGTAAACCAATTCATTCATTAGTTCGCTTAAAATCAAAAATCATTAACTATAGGTATAGGAGTGGTCGTATAGTGATACGAGTAACGTAATGCGAAATCTTACAAAGTTTCATTCAATATAAAGGTCTTAAAATCTTAAGGATATATATTTAATTAAATAAAAACAGGAAAAACAGGAAAAATACCAGTTTTAATAATTACTACAACATTATAATATTACCGTTATACTTATAACCCAAAAATGTTAAAATATCAAACATGTTGATATCATAATATATAATGTCAACATCATTTAGTGAACATTTTAGAACAATATTTGTCTATTTCTACCACAATAACATATATATGAGTATATGATTAAAAATACAACGCATAATGTGTTGATGAATTCACGCAATATACTAGCAAGTACCAGATCTTATGTAGTTTAGTATAGTACTATAACAGAGTTATTTAATTTAAAAAATATATAGTTGCAATGTTGTATTACTAGTTTTTTTCATTTCCTAATACAATGAGATTAGGTTCATCGTTGGTGACCCACATAAAAATATTTTAACATAATACATGTAAATGATTGCCAAACTTCTTACAGCGCCATAAGGATGACCCATATACTCCATTATTGAACACTTTCTGCGAATAGAATTCAAGGAATGATCTAGGAGATTATCATCTATTTTTTATTTTTTTTATAATCCATAAATCAATAACATTGTTAGCTTAAAATATMTATTTCAACTTGTATTATACTATTGCATAATAAAAGACGCACATCGCTTATCATTTCTACGTATATAATTTTAATTTATAAAATAAAATAAAATAATTATTATTATTGGGATATTCGTTTTTAATTTAATTAATCAAATAATTATACATTATTAAGAATAATGATGAATGATGATCTATTAGTACAATAAATAATGTTATAGTTAGAAAATTCGATAACCTTAAGATCAGGATTATTATAATTATAAGTTTTTATTTTACATTAATAATTCGCAACACCTAGTATTAACGTAAAAAATATTTAAGTATTTAAAAAAATAGATTTGACCTTAAGGTCGAAGAACTTAGAACTATATGTGCAGTCTATATAGTATATACTATATACAATATAGATACCTAATATTAAATGTATAGTTCCTTACTTAATAGTTAATAGTCACACACGTTCTCTGATATTATGTTCAACTTAAACTATTGTTCAAACACAATACTATAATTTTTAGTTAATTTTYGGAGTATATTGAGTATCAGAGTATCTACCATGTATTATTTAATTAAAAAAWTTGAATACAATTGAGAATCAAAAAATCAAGAGAATATTATTTATGCCAGTGGGTATATATATATTTTTAATAGGAGTTATTCAATTCTTTGTACTGAGTGATATGACTTTACGAATCTATAATAATAATATAAAATGAAGATGAGTTTTAGAGCGTTATTATATTTTGTAATAATGTATTTAACCATTTATTACTCTACACGTGTTTTTCTTTAAATACTCGTATTCTTATATCTCAATCTTATGTTATTTTAAAACAAACAACTTGATACAATTAATATTTAATTTCATTGTCTTACGATTATTGTACGTATCACTGTATCACTTGAACATGATAAATACGGTTATTATTAAAAATGAAACATGTAAATAAAATGTCTGAGGTTCGCGAGGATCATATTATTGGCCAAAAACTGAGAAGGTATTATTATTTATTTGTACATCTTTTAAAATTTCACTTATTTAAGTGCTCCCGAAGCACGTACACAACAGGTCTAAATGTAATGTATGCTGCCAACAAACATATCAAACTATGCCTAAATAGTAAATACCTATTTTGATTTCACTTGTTTTAGTAATTCAATCATATATTATTTTTAGGATCTTCTTATTTTTAAATAGATAGCAATTATTATTCAAAGTCAAATGAGCCACTGAATATGTTCAATTCATTCAGATAACTTTAATTCTAAATAATATACGCGTCACGCGATATACCGATTCGTCAATTTAAATACTACATTAGACATTTTATAGTTATCTACACGTTCTGGTATATTGGGTACATATTATGATGAATAAGTTTTCCTATGTGTCTGTGTAAATTTTATACCCAACTTAATATTAGAATAATATGTTTTCGATAATTAACCCAATCCTCGAATTGCAATGGAAAATTTAAAATAKTGCCCACTAAAATATATAAATAACATTWTTTTTTTTTTAAATATATAATAATAATATAAGTTATTGTGTTTGCCGATTTGAATTTAAATTATTTTATAATTAATATTTTATTCGAGAAAATTACTAAAATATTGTATTGTCTTTTATCTATGTTCAAATTCCCTCTAAATCAAACACTCAAATATAATACTGTTACGACACAAATATATTTTATTTTTATATTTATATTCAACAAACAGAATGTATACATTTGGAGATTTTAATATTTAGGTATTTTAAATAAAATGACAATACATAATGTTATACCATATCGTTATTACTTTTTTGTTTTCAATCTATATCCCTAAATTAGTCAAAAAGTAAAAAATTGTAATGACAAAATCAATTTTAATATATCTGTTAAAAAATGTGTGCATACACATATGTATAATGTATAATATACATAACTCTGTAACGCATAGAGTAATTTCAACCGAATTTGTATATATGGACACTTTTTTCGTAGCAGATTAAAAACACTTACTACATTTAAACCCCAGCTATTTACCCATAATTATTCTCTCTGCATTCACATTTTTCACCTCCAATAGTAATATTTATATCCATTTTCGTAAAATTTAAGATTTGGTTGGTCATTATTGATTTTAAATTAATTTTGAACCAATTTTCTTGTATAACAAAATTATCAACTATAGATAGGTATTTTAACCTATTAGTATTTAAACGCAAATTTAACAAGTATATAGACTAGCGACAAATGACTTCTTTGGGCTTTGAGTACTATATTTATATTTTATAATATAATACTCACTATACACAATACTCAACAAAAAATCTTGATAATGATCTTTCATGATTAGGTACCAACACTACCAACTCATAATATGAGAACTTAATGTATTTATCATTTATTTGTGGATCTAAATGTGTGGGTTCTAACTTAAATTAGTTAATCTCATATTATATTAGTCATACGACGACGGTATAAACTATATAGCAAATAAGATGAATTCAGTGGAACTATTTTTTTTATTTCATATCTGTAGATTTTTCTTGAATGGACTCGGAAATACAGCTATTTTATAGTATAGGCTTTAAGTAGTAATCTATATAATAATATTTACATTAAATATTTAAATAGTAATATACCGAATTATGTTGTATCTCCGGATGACTGTTCTACTAAAAGTTAGTACACAGAAACCGGAAATCATTGTACTTTGATATATTTAACAATTAGAATCACATAATAAATCATTATGATATTATATAATTATTTAAAGTTAATTAGTTTAAACACTTTAAAGTGTATTACATTTTAAACAAACTATTATTATAAGCATATGTCTCATATAAAGTGTGCAGTACGAAAATTTAGATATTTTAGCCTCTGATTAAATAATATTTTGCTGTCATGATACAGATTAACTCAAATGTAATATTATGTATAATATMTTTTTTATCCAGCTATACTTTGAAATTACAGTTTTTCGATACAATATTAGTACTTATCAAGGTTATTCTATAGGTCTGGGGGCGTTGATAATGATAGTAAAATAAAATAAAAAATAAAATACACCAACAAAGTAAAAGTAGGTGTATATTCATAATAATACAACTGCAGTGTACGAACAAGATAATGTTAAAGAATCGTTTTAAAATGGATAAATACGCATTGTAGTCACAAGTCATATTCATCTATACCTATAGGATGTCATAGTTGATGACATTTATTTTTCTGAAGACGGTAAAATAAAATAATACGTAGTACGACTTTCTATTAAATGCGATGTTTTTACGTATTATTATGCAATCAATATTAATAATTATCTGATAAGTTTTTGGCAGTGATGTTTTGCATATTWTTATGCCTATAATATGATATAACTTGACCTTGAGTGTCGTGATTTATGATTAAGATAAATTTTGATTTTGATTCGATGGGGAATTTATTACGTATAGTTATTACGTACCTACTTACGTGTAATTATAGTGTTAAATTCAAAAGAAAATACAAACAAACTGAAATGTTTATATTTCGGAATAAATCCAACGGCCTCGTGTAAGTATAGGTTAGCCGTTAAGTACTGGTAGTAGATAGCTGGTACCTACTTAATGTAGGTGCGAGATGTGTACATATTATAGTTAACGTGCGCCAAACACTTGTTGCGAAAGTACTATCAATCGCGAGAATCTATTTTGCAAGATAAAAAAWATAGATAGAAGATATGCATAATAAACGTGTTTTAGTTGATAAAAATAATTATAATTAAACTAACAGACGACCACAATATTCCTAACTAAACGCGTGGATTACGAACTGAATTTATTGCAGAGACGGATTTTATATAATATATAAAATTACAAACCTATATAGTTTATATATATATATAGGTACACGATAATAATTTATGTCAAGATATATGAAATATCAATACTTATACGGAATATTGGGAGACTAAAAATCTGGTGCTCGGACTGCGAGACATTTAGGTACCACGAGTTGCTCACACATAATATTACGATGGTAATAACAATAATAAAAGATAAATATAATACCTACAAAAATATTACGATTAATTTATAACGGGAGAACGTACCTATCTACTGCAACGTATGTGGAGCTTTTCTAATGGTTAAACTCTTGAAATCCATGCCCGCYGCGGAACGCCGTGACACAATAATAATATTATATATATATATTATATAATAATATCAGCTGTATATTATATTGAAATATTCCGATTTACGATGGTTGTATATGCGTACAATATACACTCGGATGAAATATGTCGGTTATACAAACGAACGAAGTTAATTATTATTTTRATTATTACAATATTGACACAATGCGCGTAAATAAAATCGCAAAAGCCACGATGGACGTATAACAATCCAATGACGATGATATTGTATAACATTAATTATTATTTACTATATATAATATTGTACGTTGAGAAAAATAGCGAATCGAGTATAAGGTATATGATAATAATAAAAAAAAAGTAAAAAAACGAACGAAAATAAAACAAGAGTGAAAACAGATCGATGGAGAAAAAGRTATAATGAAAAGATACACCACTGATGAATAATAATATTATATTGTATGTTATTATTATTATATTAAAGCGTGTCCGTCGCGATCACCAGTCGAAAATCGAATCTACAGCGCCGCGCGGTACTCGCCGGACTGCGTGCTGCTGCTCTCCGCGGGTCGCCAGTCGGTTGCGAACACGACGCGACGCGCGCGCGTTTTTTTCCCTCCTTGACCCCTTCCCCCCCTCGACGCGCGGAACTTACGCGGACGACTTCTCGTCGCTAGCGCCTTATAATTACATTTTACATTTATTATTATTCACTGTATAACGCACGGTTATGATACTATTATTATTAAAACAGTGCGCTGAAAACCAGTTTTATGCTTACCGCTTACCACTGACATGTAAACACAATTATATTATTAATATATATATTTTTATTGAAATAATAATAATATGTAATACGCATCAGTCATCGTGTGACGCGTGATTTGTTATGGACACACACACGCACACGCGGTCGTAGACTCGTAGTCTGTCATCGTCTATCGTTTCGACGCGTACTGCTGCCGCGTGCGTGAGTTTCTGTACCTTAATAATTATACACAATATTATTATTATTATTATTATTATTATATAGGTGTACCTATACTCATGTATTAATAATTACTAATTGTATTAGTGTATTAAACTATTATACTGTAGATATAATTATATTGTTATGATACTAATTTATTATTAGTATATATTTATTATTTTATACCTATTACACATTGTACTTCATCGAAACTTTCGTGTGATTCGATTACTTCTTAATTTCCATATGATATAAAGGTATGAGGTTCATCGTTCATACCATTACCCTATTTACCCTCATAATATGACTATGTATTAAACAATTACATATACAAATACAATATACACCTACTGCCTACTGGTTACTACTTTACTACATGGTAAAGATACGCAAATTATGATTGGGCACACATACCTATATAACTATATTTCTATACTCGTGTTGATGTAACAATATTATTATTATATATATGTAGTCATAAATTATAACTATAAACTCATTAATCTTCAGATTTGTCTGCTCTAAAAATTTTTTTWAAATAATATGCTTAATGCATTAATTTGAAATAAATACCTAGTCAATATAAAACTATCCCACTATAATAGGCATATTTTTCATGTCGGCATATTTTATATTATTGTTAAAAAAAAATTCGTTAATTAAGAAAGAGGGGTGCAAATCGGTAAAATATTAGAACTCGGAGGATAATCTGGATTACCGAAGAGGAATCTCCATAAAAAAAGTTAATCAACATTCACCACTCTCCTGATCAATCTTTAGTCCACTTTAGTAACTATTGGTATTTTGGTGTTTTGGAAAAGTTTCTGAACAATACTACTAATACTAATACACGATTTTTAATGATGCGTGAACGCGTGATTGATACAAATTACAATTGGGTTTGTGTCATTTACATCATGCACGCGCATTACGTGGTTAGATTTTGAATAAACTGATTAAATACAAATTTACTAATATCAATTATACAGTTTTAATTATAAATAAAAATGAATACTGTTTGTTCGCCGTTTGGAAAGTTTTAAACAAAAATTTCACGTATTAAAAAATGTATAAATATCACACAATATTGCCTATGTTCCAATTTGAAATAACGCTTAGTTTTTTTAAGTCATTTTTACTAATCATTAAAATGTTGATAATTGTATATTTTTAAAAATAATACATTACATACCTATTTATATTAAGTACATAATATATATATATATTTAAACAAATTACATATGTAATTATATTTTATTATTATTAATATTTAATAATGTAGTACTACTTATGTATTTGTTGTTATGCGAGCTTGGCCGTAATGAAAATCAACAAGCTTTCAAATTTAAAATAAAATGTGCATTTGGTATGAAGGTATATATATATATATATATATATATATATAATACTGAGTTTATATAACGATTAACTGAACTCTATTTTTGAGATTTTTGCTTAATTAAATTATATTAACATTTTTATTTTGTATGTATAAGTAGGTAATAAAAAAAAATAGTAAAATGTTATTTTTTAACCATCATTTTATTTAAATATTAATCTATTTGATGTCTTAAATACCTACTATAAAAATTATAAAATAATTATATTATATATGTAGGTTGCTTCTCAGCTAGTTCTCATTACTTATTTGCTAGACCATGCTTGCTTAATTTACGAAAATCCTGAAAATTGAAAAGTATGACCTAAAAACATAGTTCATAATATAGTCATATATACGATACCTATACCTATATTATAAATTCATTGACTACATTTAATGTTTATAGAAAAAGTAAATAAATCTCCCATGTATATATTAACCGGGTTGATTTTGGAATTAGAAAACTTTCCTATAGTTAAAACAGTCAAAAACTGTCGTGTTAAGATGTAATGTGCACTGGGGGCACACTTATATTAATGTTTGACTTTTGCTGTATTTATGTTTTGCACCACAAAATTTCACACACGTAATTTAATTTTTTTTTTTTTAACACACTTATTGTTAGTTATCACTTATCAGTCATGGTTAGGTTATGTTGGGTATTCTGATATACTGATGACTGATGATTGTAATTTGTAATGCCTTAACTTACTGTCCACTAGTCCACTGATGACAATAAAACGAGACGACTATACTACTTACTAGTATTGACTATACTGACTACTGCAGGCGACGAAATGTAAGTCTGTATTATAATAATGGTTAGAATTTTACAACACTTGGAATTGCATATAGGTATATCAGGTATATGCACAATTGCACAACCTTAAATATCGGTGAATATGCAATAAATACAACATAATATGCAAAAATAGTATAGCCAGTATAGGTAGATATAATACTAACAAAGATAAATTTTTAAAGTTAATAGTGAATAGTGTTGATAGTTAATACGTATTATCACCTACAATAATAACTGTTATACTTATATATTTATATCCTCATTTATCGAGGCTCAGTTGTATAGACGCATTGTATTTATTCGAATCTATATATCTAGCTTATTTAGAACTCTGTATATATTTGGGAGGAGTTTTATTATTTCTAAAAATAAATATGTACGTTTCAAATATATATATACCTACTTTAACATTTTAACATTTGTAACATTTTAAATCACTGATGGAAAAAATAAATTTATTACGATAAAAAAAAAATGTTATGAAGAATCTACTATCTAGGTATTTGAATGGAATCTTTAAAATGCTTTAAAATTTTAGCACCGGGGAGAAATAGAAGTGACACCTGTGCCTCCCATTAAAAACACCCCAGAGATGAAACAAAATAAATATAGGTTTTTACAATATGTTGTACGTTTGTAATAATAGTTTTTGTATAAAAAAAAAAAAACTAATATATACACAAGTCTACACTTGTCACTTTACACCAAGGGTTGATAACTAAGTTCATACGCAGGCCATATTTTTATCAGATTTTTATTGRGGGCCAGGGCAGCATACAAAATTAAAATATTATTAAAAATACAAATTTAACAAACATAATAATAATAATATCCATTATATACTTATGGATAGCAATAGTCATAATATGAGTTTCAAATTGTGGACTGCGGTTGTCATTATTAACTAATTTTGAAATTAATTTATTAGTAGAGAACATTTTAAAATTAAAAAAAATGTTTGTTAATTCTTGAGAGCAATGAATATAAATTACCTGTATGATCATAAATGATTATATTTTTTGAGATCTCTAGAACAGTGTGTGATAAGCTCGTAGTTTATATTTATAGYAAAATAATAGTCACAATTTGATTTTATTTATTACAATATTTAAGATGCGTAAAAAATTAAAAATTTAATCACCAAGATATTATGTATTTGGAGGGCCGCTTGCGGTTCACGAGTTGCCCGTGCCTACTCTACACGCAGTACACATTACACAATGTAAGACTCTTGAATAAAACCATTCATTTATGATTATAAATATAACATTGATACACTATTAGTATAATAACTATTAACTACTGAGTACTGTATAAACCTAGATACCAGGTATATATTATTACCTTCAAGATATAATATGGTTCAACAAACGGCTCACTGCTCACTCTCATTCTTTTTAATTTTAACTTTTTTTAATTACAAGTTTATTCAAATTCTGATCCTTGAAATTTAAGGACTATTTTGTCTCCTGTAACAATACAAACTTCTGGTTTATCAAGTGATAATTCCCCCTTTTTATTGAGAGTTAAGTGAATATTTTTATTTGAAAATCTAGATTTACCTCATTTAAAAAAAAATTCGAATAAGTAGTTTCTCAGTTATTAAAATGTTTGAATTAATAAGGATTGCAAATCTTTTTAATCTAGTATTTATTATACTCGGTACACTCTTACAAGTTATATATTTTTATAGATTATTAATATTAATTAGATATTAAAAAGTTCAAATCACCATCGTGGCTCTCATATAATCTCCCAAACCTATTATCCTTATTAATAGATACCTATACACTAAGTCAAATAATTCAAAAACTACTCGTTTGAATTTTGATTTTGATACATCAATATTTTTATGAAAAATATCCTCTAAATAATTTAGTGTAGAAAAGGAAGGTTCTCATTTAAAAAATAGAAATTTGTATCTCCACATGTCACTCCGTACTATTACTAAAAATCCGAATAATTTGAAAATATTGTCTTTAAGTATATTTAAAAKCTCTAAAAATTAGATTTTTAACTACTAAAATGTGAATGATTAAAGAAAAGGGAAGTGAGCWTGTTTGGTGAATCACTCTGTATAAACAAATGTAAATTTAATCTCAGAATTAACCACAAATAACAACCCCTTTATATACAAACATGGTAGGTATACACATTAATGATTAATATCATTCAAATATAATTAATACAAGTATATGATGACGAAAACAGTTTTAGTATATTTTACCAACGCTCTACGCTGCTCTGTAGAGATTATATCAAAAATATCATTATTATTTTTTAATAACCACATATAGCGTCGTATATACGCCTATATATAAATAATACGATACACGTCGAGTTTTTATTAATAATTTGACTATTTGTTATTACATTTAGAGTGTTATTGTTAGTGTTAGGTTTTTTTT